TGTCCTGGCTTGCAGCTGTGATCCTGGCACACCATGCCTTTTCCTGGGTGGCACACACACTGCTGCTGGCAGTTTTCAATGAGAACTGACTCCTCTGGCTGTGGGGACAGAGAGCATGCCATCAGTAACCAGAGGGGGTGCTGACTCTGGCGTCCCCAGCGTTCCAGGCACAGAGAGGGTTGGGGGCACAAAGTGGCAACTCTTTGCAGCGTGGTTCATTGTCAATGAGGCACAGCATGGCTTTGAGGCCCAGCTCATTCATTTATTCACTCACCCATTCTAAAATATGCACCGTTTGGAAGCAGAGTTAAATAGTCCATGGAAAGAAAGAAAGCCAGGCACAGCGGTGTGTGCCATTATCTTACCACTAGGGAGGCTGAGGCAAGAGGATTGCACAAAGTTTGAGGCCAGTCTGGACTACATAGTGAGTCACTTAGGGCCACACACCAAGGCCATCAAAAAAATAAACAAACCACAAAACAAAGCAAAGCAACCAGAGCAAAAGGTGTGGTGCGGATTGCTCTTTCCAAATTCTAGACAGCACGACTCGATGTCTTGATGTCTCATTTTCTTCATTTGCAGGCTGTAGGTAATTAATTACAGGGCAGAGCTAAGACAATACAATGGAGTTAATATAATGTGTAAAGTACAGGTGGAAGTCGAGAGGCGCCTTTTCAATAACCCAGGCCTCTCCGTAAAGGGGCGAAAGTGAGGCGAGACTGGGGTAAAGACGGTTGTTAAAGCTGAGTGATGCAGGTATTCAGTGATGTATTTCACCATATATGTGATGTGTGAGCACGCTGATCTATTGCTCTATTCTCTTGACATTGCACATTCAATTTCATAATGAAATATCTCTATCTGTATAATTCATGTGTGCACATCAGACAGGTCCGTGGTCAGTACCCCCACACATTTGCATCCATTACTATTGTTCACGGGATGAGAAGCACAGGGAAGGTACTGCCCTCAGAGTCTTCTCAGTTCTATAAACAAGGCAGAGTTTCAGCACACACACACACACACACACACACACACACACACACACACACACACGTTAAGGCAGAGCTCCGTGGTGGTGGTGGGGGAGAGGAGGAAGCCGAGAGACTGAGCAGCCGCTATAACACAAAATTTCCTTTTTGTGGTCACAGAACAGAGGAGAGGACACATCTCTCGTTGGACACTGGCCAGCTGTTATAAACTGGGGCTGGAGAAATGGCAGAGTGGTTAAGAACACTGGCTGCTCTTCCAGAGGATCTGGGTTTGATTCCCAGCACCCACATGGTGGCTCAAAATTGTCTGGAACTCCTGTCCCAAAGGATCCGATGCCCTCCTCTAGCCTCTTTGTTGACACCCACCAGGAACATACACGGTGCACACATATACAAGCAAACAGAACACTCAGGCATAAAATAAACATACATCTTAAAAACTATCATAGTCATTTTGTTAGGTTAAATTATTTGCTTTCTTGTTGTAAGTGCTCTTTCTAGTGTTCATTGTTTTGCAACTGAGCAAAGGTCTTGGAGGATCAGGTAATCTGGTTCCCCGCTTGGCAGCTGGAGGACTCTCCTGCTGCAGTGGCCTCCTTGAGCAAAAGGACTGTCACTCAGACGAGCCAGCCAGACTGAGCTCATGCCAGCCTCTGTAGTTTTGAGCACTCCATGGATCTGTGGAGAAGGTCATAGCTCGTTGTCCTGGCCCCTGAAGGTGCAGTCTAGCCAAGACTTTTTCCTAGCACAGATCTCTGTGAGCTCGCAATGATCCTATACTCATTTCTAGGCTGGAGGTGAAGTGCTTCCCCCGGTGGCCTGGTAGTGACTGTCATTGACTGATGCTCAAGAGGCAGTTGTGATTGGTGCAACCCCCCCTGCGCAGGCAATTTAAGCATGCCGGTCAGCTCGCCTAGTGAGTCAGCCGGGAGACAGTCCATCCCCTGTGGCAGATAAAAGGCCTCTTTGGAGTGGGTTTTTCTTTTTCTTTTTTTCTTCTTGCTTTTCAGTGTTGAGGGCTGAGCCGGCACACAAAGAAAGCAGCAGGACAGACGGCAGAGGGCAGTGGCAACAGAGACAGGGGAGTGGCCGTGGCAGCCGAGTGGTCGGCAAGCCCAGGTATGAAAGTCACAAAGCTGAACAGCCGAAGAAGAGGCCCGCTGACCTAGCAGAGGGCTGAGCCACGGAAGCGGCAGAGCAGCCAGCTGCTTAACAGCTGGAGCACGGGAGAAAACAGCTGCGCTGAGGATGGTGGGGGTGGCAGAATTAGGAAGGATGAAGGCATGGTGGAGAGAGGGCAGGCTATAGAGCCAGGAGAGAAACAGCAGACTCCGGTTGCCGGAAGAGTTCCAGAGAGCGTTGCGTGCCCCAGGCCTAGGATGTAACACTGGCTGCTGCCCAGGGGTAAGGAACCTTCCACCTCTTAGGCCTCCACTGTGACACTTTCAAAGCTAAGGGTCTTGTTACCCAAGTCTAAAGCAGAGCTGTGACACTAGAGGCCGCCACCTGCTCTTGTCTGCCGCTCTCAAACACCTGTGGATGCCAAGTGGCCAGGATCGTCACTTGAAAAGCTTTTCCTTTCTTACATGATTTTTATCTCAGCAGAGCAGGACTCCACCCAGCTGACTGACAATAGGCGAGTCATCTTGGCCCAGACATGGAACAAAAGGGTTAAATCTTGACTTTGGGAGCCAGGGGAGAGTTTAAAACATCACTACCCATGGTGACATTCTGAAAGGTCTTTTCCACTGCCATGAGGAGGGTAGACCAGAAGGAGGGAAACTCAGGACTGGATAAGGACCGGGTGACCCAGTCAGGGTGATGTGGGGCAGAGAGCTAGCTAGTCAGGAGGCTGCATGGTGTGAAGGCTATAGTGCTGATGAGCAGTGTGGGTCGGTTCAGGAGGAAGTCCCAGGTTCTGTCGGGACGGCTGGGTTCCTACCTCATAGTAGACCCCGTTGTGGTGGCAGCCGCATTTCTCCATGGGCACACAGGTCGTGAGGCTCTGAAGGAAGTCAGAGTCACATTCGCAGCCCTCACTGCATGTTTCCAGGCACTGAATAGGTGTGGTGATGGTCGAGCAGCCCAGGGAGCAGGTGTCTGCCAGGACCGCGTAGTGGCTGTGAGGGGGGCACTCCATCGCTGTGAGAAAGGGGTGCTGGTCAGGACTCCAGGGCAGAGGTTGGGGTTCTACCCCTCCTGCTCCCCAAGCGTCCCCTTTCCCTAGCCCTCAGTGTTCCATCACTCACGACAGAAAGTTTTGTTCCTCCATGGCTTGACATGCCCCCCAGCTGCCTGGCAGATGCTCACGTAGTTGTGGATGTGGTTGCAGAGAATGCTCAGGTTCCCACCATTCAGACAGAGATCAAAGACACAGTCTTTGAAGAGATCCTGGGGGTCCAGCAGCTTGTGGCAGGCAGCCAGTGGCCCCGTGGGACTGCTGAGCAGCCCGCAGAACTGTACCCCATGGTACTTCTTCTCCATAGCCGGGCTGCACTTTGCTTGGCAGTCCTGTCCCGGTTTGCAGGCAGGCTGGGGCATGCAGAAAGAACCTGGCACAGCCTTTGCCCAGGAGTTCCCCAGCTCACTGGGACTGACTGCCTGTGAGCCATCGGACTTCTGCAAGTCGTTCTTGGGGTCATCATTGTAGTCCCCACACAGGCCACACAGGTAGTTATAGTAGTTACGGGGGACGGTGACACGCACATTGTTGTTGAGATCATAGGATACTTGCAGGCCAAATCTGGTTTTGATTACCACATCTACGCCATGCTGGAGGGCCTGAACACTGCCCCCATCCAGCACCACAGGCATCTTCATGTTCACGCCGTTCACCTAGAAGGCGGGGAATGGCAAGCTTCAGAGGGCATGCTTTGAGACAGTCGGTCACTAAATATCCCTGGATCTAGTCTGTCCCTAGATGTCCCTGTCTGACACTGAAATCTGGAGTAACCCCATCTTTCTGACCCTCAGTTTCCATATTTGTAAAATGTGTATAACAGTGCCTTATTCTAGCCAGGACCTTGAAATGTGACCATATTTGGGAAAAGGCCTTTGTTGATGTAATTAAAAGTTACAATCTAAAAAAAAAAGTTACAGTCTTGACATGAGAACACTAAGGATCAGAGTGAACACTAAATCCAATGACAAGTGTCCTGGGAGGCAGTGGAGTAGAACAGAGGCCACAGAGAGGGTGGCATGGGAAGACTCAGTAGTCGGGAGGGAGTGTTGACATTGTAAGCCTAGGGACATCATGGAGCCACCAAAAGCTGAAGAGGCAAGAAGGCTCCTCCCCTGCAGCCTCTGGAGGGGGCCTGGCCTTGTTGCCATCTTGACTTTAGATTCCACACCCAGAACTGTGAGACTATAAACCTATGTTACGTTAGAAAAGTTTGTAAGTTACATTTTATTTCAGTATTTATTTGTGGGAGGGAGCGCACACATGTACATCAGAGAATAAATTGTGGGAGCTGGCTGTCTCCTCTCACCACGTGTGTCTCCGAGACTCAAGTTAGGTCGTCAAGCTTGCCGGCAAGTGCCTTTACCTGCCCAGTCATCTCACCAGCATGTGATTTTAAGTCAGCAAGCTTGTGGCATTTGGTCACAGCAGCCACCAGGAAACCACTGTAGGTCTCAGAGGGGTGATGACCTCACCAGCCTGGGTGACATGGTGACTGATATTGCAGGGACTGAGCCCGGAGGCACAGCCTACCCTTTACCCCTCTGTGCCCTGGGCAGAGATTCGCCTGTGTTTCTGCTTCCTGTCTGTCTAGGGGGACAGGGTGTCTTGTCTCCAGTGTGTCATCTAGGGTACCTGCTACATATAACATGTGCAAAGGCTTGTGCTGTGGACCCCCGTCCCCCGTGGCTGGGGTCCTGTTTGCAAGTCTTCATCTGGACAGTGAAGCAAAGTCAGGCTCCATTCCTCATCTGAAGATCACCGAGGGCTTTGGCTCCAACCAGGCTTGGGAGGTGCACCCCTGGTTACCACATCTGTGCCCTTCCTCATTACGCACACCCTGCACACTGGGTTTACAGAGCTGTGAGGCGACAGGGAGCGGGCAGGGGAAAGACACACTCTAGGCATGTCTGAGTGTCTTAAAGACGTGAACAACCATTCTATTCCATCAGGCTGGCCCTGCATAAGAGCAAGTCACTTAACCTCTGGCCTCAGTTTCTCCCTCTGCAGCGAGGGACAGTCGCAGGGAAGCTGGGGTTTGGTGAGATGCCAATATCGGACAGAGACTGTCCCCATGTGCCCGGAGCTGCCTATTTGTCAGGTGCTAATCTCAGAGCTTGGGGCTTGTTAGAGAAGACACTGCGTCCTGTAACCCACGCCAGGGCATGTGACAGCTCTTGTACCTACTGCTACCAGAACAATGACTGTGTGCTGCATGGGGGGAGGGGGGCGGGCGGGCGGACATTCCCACTGTATCTCAAATGCCAGTCTCCATGTGAGACCTAATCCTTCTTGTTCAGAAAAGCAACAGAATGTGGTGCAGAATCCAGTGTGCTGTTTCTTAGCAACACATATCTTGTCTTTGCTAAGGGATTTTAACACAGTGACGGGACCTTGTCTTCCAAACAAATGAAGCCAATCGTGGTGCCTTTTCTAGCTCCAGTCTCAAGGTTAAATTGATGATGAGGGTGCCAGGTGCTTGGCAGCCACTGGGCCTAGGGGCAGCATGCAAAACAGGTAGCTGCTCTACTGTTGTTGCTATGGTTGTTAAAGGGATGATGGGGGTCACAGACTATCCTCTGTCCCTGAACCTTTCCCACCTCTGAGCTTTTCTATGCTGTGACTGTATCAAGTGTTCCTTGTGGGTAGGAAACAAGGAGGTGGCTAGGACAGTGTTGGGTAGACATTTCCTGTGAATACATTTCATCCTTGAGGGAGGCTCATTAGGACTCAGAAGTTTGAAAAGGAAGCTCTATAAGACTTAGGACATAATGAGGACTAATAACTCACAAGTCACAGGAAGTTCCTAAAACTTAGCAGATTCACAAGATCCCTCTTCCCCAAGGTTATATAAGCAGCAGGGACTGCTTGGAGACTCTCCCACTTGCGGAACTAACTGAAGGTGGTGCAGAAAGCTCCAGGGTTTCAGCTTTCCTCAGTCATGACCTGTGCTGGAGTGGACTTTTGTTTTCTCAGCTTTCTTTGAGTTGTTCATGCTCTATGAGTTTATATTCCTATAAGTAACCCAAGAAACTCATTGTTAAACTTGGGTGGTATTTTTACTTTGGCCTGTCATGGGTTCCCATCTAGGGGTGAGTAGACATTTGTTCATGTCTTCCTATCAATAGTGTCTTACAACAGGCAGGGACCAGGTATGGTGGGATACATGGGAAGATGAGGAGAGGGTCAGTTAAGGGTAGAGCAGAAGGAGAGACAAAGGCACGTGGGAAAAGGCCCCAGGGCCCTGAGGCCTCCTTACTCTAGGCTTTCCATCAGTACCTCCTCTTGTTGAGGGCATGCTTCCTCACATGCTCTCGTGGTCTCTGGACACCCCCTCCTGGACTGTCCACGCTCCACCTCACATGTCCGCCCCCAAGGCCCATGTCTCCTCTGTCCTCACCGTGACCTTCCATTGATTCTGCTGCAGCTTCAGGGTGTAGTTGGCCACCTGTATGGTGATCATCTTGGTCACACTGACTTCTGTGTTGTTGCCCGAGACCGCATTTTCCTGCAGTATTGTGAACTGTTGCAGGCCAGGCCGGGTCCAGCAGGTTTGAACCAGCACATACACACAGGTGCCGATGAAGTCAAAGCGGCGGCCGTCGAAAGTGGTGTAATGGGAAGCTCCCGACACACGGCAGGTGGCTGAGTTCACAGCCACACACCTCAGGACGCCACTGGACACCTTACAGACTTCATATGGGCTGCAATACGAGGGCTGACAGGACACCAGGCCGCCCTTGTGACAGTGGCAAAGAGAATTGCACTCGGGTCCAGGATAGAAGTCCTCTTCTGCCTGGTGGTAAACGCCCTGGTACACGCAGCCACAGGAGGACAGGGGTACACAGGTCTCACCACTAAGGACAAAGCCTTCGTCACAGACACAGGCCTCCTGGCAATGTGAGCCACAGCCTCCGGGCACTGGCAGGTCTCCACAGGTCAGCGGACAGCCTCGATGACACAGCTCATAGTGGCTGTGAGGAGGGCAGTTCATTGCTGCAGGGAGAGGGCCGTCAGGATCAAAGATTTTTACTCTTGGGTGGACACAGCTGATTCCCCGATATACACAAGCACACACACACACACACACACACACACACACACACACACACACACACACACACACACAAAGTGGCCTTCAAGAAACTATCGTGCTCAGTAGGGTCAAGGGAACACCTTTCATCACAGTTTCTGAGCCTCAGAAATAAGATTCAGTTGTGATGCAACTGTGGTTTGTGGTCAATCTGAAATATATGTGTATATATATATATATATATATATATATATATATTTTTTTTTTTTTTTTCCCGAGACAGGGTTTCCTTGTGTAACATTCCTGGCTGTCCTGGAACTCACTTTGCAGACCAAGCTGGCCTTGAACTCACTGAGATCCGCCTGCCTCTGCCTCCCAAGTGCTGGGATTAAAGGTGTGTGCCACCACTGCCCGGCTAATCTGTGATACCTTTTTTTTTTTTTTCCGGAGCTGAGAACCGAACCCAGGGCCTTTCACTTGCTAGGCAAATGCTCTACTACTGAGCTAAATCCCTAACCCTTATCTGTAATATCTTGAATGACACAACTAACATTGGATATAAATGCTAATATGTGTTACATAGTCTAAATAAGCGTATGCATGCCTGTATGTATAATCTTTGCAGTATGTGAGTGAGTATGGCATTAGCGCCTTCATTTTATAGTATTAATAGAATATTAGTTTAGTAATTTCAAATATTAAGTAATAGTAATTAAAAATAATTACACAGTGCAGTTTAGCGAAAGCATTTAGTGTTACAATGAACAAACAAACGAATGAAGGAACATGGGGCTGGAGAGATGGCTCAGCTGTTAGGAGCACTGGCTGCTCTTGAGGAGGACCTGGGTTCGGTGCACAGCACCCATGTAGTGGTTCACAAGGATCTGTAAGTTAGGTCCCAGGGGATCTGCTGCTCTCTTCTGACCTCCTTGGGCACTGCATGCCCATCGGTGAATAGATGGATATTCGGGCCCAACACTCACACGCATAAAATAAAAATAAATAAACTTTAAAAACAACCAGCCAACCAAATCAAACCATGTCTTGCTTCCCTCCCTAAACTCTGATCACAAAGCAAAAGGAAGCACCCGGCCGAGCATGCTGGGCTGAGCTCCCTGACACAGCTCGCCAAGCTTGCATCAGGCTCTGTGTTTACACCCCAGCACCACATAAAATGGAAACTGAAAAAGGTGTCCAAAGCCCAAACCACGGGAACCAAGCCAAAGGACCTCCCCACCTCGTGTGACTGCAGACATACCCCGTGCTATGGATACCGTGGACTCTAGGCACGTTGGTCATTTAAGTGAAAGTAAAATAAAATGAAGGAAGAGGGAAGATTCTGTCTCTGGACCATGGCAGCCTCATTTCAGAACAGCTTCCCAGCTTCCTAATTGTGTCTGACAGCTGTCACTGGCCATCAATCAAACTTGGGGTCTCCAGGTGTACTCGTTCATAAGTGCTGCTGTCTATGACTTCTTAGTGTCCTGTTGCTGTCCCCGAGTTCCACGGCATAAGCAGGACTCCTTTCTCACCAGGTATCATAAAGATTAAACAATGCTGCTTGTGCGTTAAATTATGCTAATACCACTTGTATGTTAATTATGCTAACGCTACTCGTATGCTAACGAACAGACACCAGATCCAACCCCCTGGTCGCCACTCTTGGTACTCACGGCAAAGCTTCTCACTCCTCCAGGGATACACAGTGATCCCTTCAGCCTGGCATATGGCGGTGTATGTGGCCAGCGCGTCACACAGTGGCTTCGTTTGGCCTGGCATGCGGCAGCTGTCGTAGGCACACTCTATGAGGGCACTGTTGAACATGGGCACTTTCCAGCAGTGCCTGAACTGACCCTCCTTGTCCCTCAGGATCTTACACTTCTCTTTGTTCTTCACCACTGACTTGCTGTTCATGTGGGGACACCGAAGTTGTTCGTCCGTTCTGCAGCCAGGCTTCTCTGTGACCATCCACTTCTTCCCGAAGTCTCGAGGGTCGAGGGCTTCCCCTTTATCCTGCTGACCAAGGTCATCACGAGGCTCCCCGTTGAAGTTCCCACAGAGCCCACACACAGCTTTAGCGTAGCTGCTGGGCACCTTGGCGGTCACATGGGTGTCCCAGTTGAAGCTGAGGGTCAGGCCAAAATTCGTGCGCAGGACGGCGTACATGCCCCTGCGGAACGCGACGATTTTTCCACCTGCGGCTTGGAAGGGCAGGTACCGAATGACGCCGTCCAACTGAGTGGAGATGGAGGAGGACCAACAGGTCAGGGTACCAGCTCTGCCCATCTCCCCAGTACTGACAGCACTCTAAACGTCCCCACTTAGTCTGGTCTCAAGACCTTTGCATTTAGTTGTTTTCATACACATTGTTAATTAGTACTCAAGCCTTAGCTAAAATGTCATTTTGGAGAGGTGGGGGGACATTAATACCTACTAATAATTGCTTACTAATAAAGCCTTATTAGAAAGGCTCTCTTTATCTAGAGCCTTTCCACACCAACCACTGGGGATATAGAGCCCGGCACATGGAAAGTTATGTTTCCCACTTTTAATTTGCCCACCCTCCCTCTCCCCAGGGTGACAGGCCATCACCCAAATTCCCCTCCTTTAATTATGAGCTATTGTGTAAATATCCAACAACTTATTTCTCCACACAGACACACATATATTTTTTTAAATTTTCTTTTAGACAAGGTCTTTCTGTACTCACTATATAGACAGGCTGGTCTCGAACTCAGAGATCTGCCTGCCTCTGCCTCTGAAGTGCTGGGATTAAAACTTCAATATGTATATTGAGACAGGGTATCACTTTTTCTCCCTAATTGTCCTGGAACTCACTATGTAGACCAGGCTAGATTGGAACTCACAGATCTCTCTGTCTCTGCCTCCTGAGTGCTGGGATTGGTGTGGCTTTTACCACCTGGCTTTTACTGGTTTTTTTGTTTGTTTGTTTTTGTCTTTTTGTTTTGTATTGTTTTGTTTTTTGTGGGCAAGGAATGTCTGTAGACTTGACTTTACCTGTAGCAAGTCTCAAGAATGGCAGAGAAGCTATCTTTGATCACAGGACGGGACTTATGGTGGATTTGCAAAACCTATTTGGGAAAACTTGAATCAGGACAATTGGCCTCTAGGTGTGGACTTGTCCTCTGTCCCTTGCCTAGCCAGCCGGTCCAAGGCTCTGGGTTTTCAGTCCTAGTGAGTGACAATAGTGTGGCCCTCAGGGCAGCTGAGACAAGTTATGAATAGCACAGCAGATCGTCTGGAAAGAAGTGATGGAGCGGGGCCCGTCCTGGGGAGAAAGAGGGTGTAGAGAAGAGGCCACAGCCAGGCAAAAGAGCTTTCTTTTGTTTGTTGAAGTTTCTGAGACAAGATCTCACTCTGTGTAGCCTTGGTGCTGTGTGAGTGGACAGACATTCATTCATTCTGAGGGGCTGAATGAGGACCTCCATTTTCCTGCTAACATAAATGTTTGCTTTGCTCCTGATATTTCATGTCCCTCGACACCTTGCTCTGTGGACCATTCTTTAGAAAATGCACAAGTCTCTAATTCCAAAGTTTCTTGAGAACAAAACTAGGGACCACCAACATCTACTGAGCATCAAGACCTCTCTTAAGGACCCTGCAGATATAGATTCATCAAATCTCCACAACCACCCAGGGAATGGTGGCTCCTGGTGGCAAAGGGAGAGAGGCTGGACACAGTCATGGAACTGTTATCCCAAGGAGGAGTAGCAGCAGGACCTACATCTCGGGTCTGGACCTTAGCCATCCGTTGAATGAATCCCACTCCACCACCTCCCCCCAAACCACTAATCGGTCAGTGGATTTATGCCCTCCCCAGTTCCAGGACCCACAGCACTCACCAGCACTTTGCCTGGGTAGTTCCGGGGCACCTCCAACTTTACTCCGTAGACCTCCAGCTGCACAGAATGCACAAAGCTCACACTCTGGCTTCCCCGACGTTCGTTTTCCATAATCACTTTGAAGTCCGGGAGGGAGGGGTGCTGGCCACACGAGGTGGTAAGCATGTAGGTGCAGGTGCCCATGAAATTGTAGTTCCGCCTATCAAAGGTCATGTAGTGCGGGTCTCCAGATGCCCGGCAGGAGCCGAAGTATTCTGGGTAGCAACCCAAGAACCCATTCTGTATCCCACAGCGCTCCCCAGACAGACATCCTGATGTGTCCCTGCAGATCACCTTCTGGGTGGCCGCATCACAGGTGCAGCGTTGCCGACACAGGTCGTCAGCAAACACTTCCTGGCCTGGGGCCAGCAGGCGGCCCTGGAAGGTGCAGCCACAGGATGACACCGGCACACAGAGGCCTCGATTGCTCACAAAGCCTGGAAGGCACACGCAGCCCTCCACACAAGGGCGCCTAGAGCAGTTGGCCGGTGCAGCTTCTGAGTTGCAGGAGGCTGGACAAGCAGGGCTGCAGAGATCATAGTAGCTGTTGGCTGGACAGGACATGGCTGGAGGGTTGGGAAGAAAGGGTCATACTAAGGTGGGGGCTCCCCCGGACAAAGCCGCTTCCTCGGATCTCCACACTCCTCAATTAATGGCACTCATACCTTCTCGATGCTCAGGTCCCAATGGCCTCCTCTATCCCATCCCCGGACAACCAGTCAGTGGGCAAACCCTGTGACTTTCATAGTCAAAGCCACCCAAATCTGTCTCCACAGCCCATGAACCACAACAGACTCCTGCCTGGTATCCTGGTCCCCTGTCCCAAATCTGCTCCTCACAGCAGCCAGAGGAGCTGGGAATGCAGGGTCAGACCACGAACCTCACCCCCAACCTCCTGTGGCTCCATCTCGGGGGGGGGGGGGAAGCAGAGTCCTCCCCAGGCCCAGGGGCTTCCCTCATCACCTCCCTGTCCCCATCCTTCTCACTTCCCTAATGGATAGCGCCTCAGCGGACTGGCGCCTGTCCCCAGAGCCCCATCTCAGGCCTCTGCACCGACCATTCCCTCCACCATTGTTATTTTGTCCTCAAACAGATGATGCGGGTGAAAGCCAAGGCTAGACCGCCTGGATTCCAGCACCACTCTCTCCTTGCCCATGTGTTCATGAGCAAATGCCAGGAGGAAGTGGGGTGACACACCCTGGTTATGTGGATCTCTGTGATGGCTTTGCTGACTCCGCTGCCTGCCTGCGCTCCAGGGTCCGGTGTCATTGATCCCCAAAGTCTCCCGAGCCTCCGGACACTATCACAGACCTTGCATCCTTTGCTCTCTGAAGGTTTTCATAGTTGATCTGTGAACTGCCTGTCTGTCCCTCCCCACCCAGGACGGAAGTTCTGCTGGAGTGGGGACACAACCTGACTCAGTCACACTGAATCGTCATCTCTGACCTCAGGGCCCAAAAGATGGACAGGTGGGGCAATGAGCTCACTGCTGTCCCCTTTGTTTTGGGTTTGGAGATACTCAGGGAGGGAGGCTCACTGGACAATGGTGTGTCACAGTGATGCAGGCAAATTCAAACAATCTCCCTGTGGACTTATCTCCCTTCCGAAGTCCCAGGCTTAAGCACTGGGCCGGTTTCTTCCCTCACCAGCCTATATGCTTCTTCAGCATTTCTCTGAGCTGTCTGCAGGCCGCAGACACGTTCATGTGGGCTCTTACATTGTCCTCCACATCAGCAGCACGGAAGAGGCTGTCATGAAGACATGGCATGTTTGCTGACTGAATGCGTGACTGCTTTAGTGGGTGGACACCTGGCTAGTCATCTGTGGCTTAGTCCAGAGGGCAGGGGAGTCACGTGAGTGTTACAAGCGAAGATGACCACTGACTTTTATCTTGCAACTTGGCCAGACTCTTTCCTGCCAAACCTCTGTGGTTCCCTGGGTCAGGAGCCCAGATCCTCCGCCCCCTCCCCCGCCCCGTTTCTGGCTATTCCAGTCCTTCCCAGGGATTTCAAATTGAACATTCTTTTTCTAGGAAAACCCTGCCTATAACTGTATGAACCCTACCCCCACCGCTAACATCGTGTATCTCTGTCGAACTCCCCGCGTCTTATCCTGCCTCCCTCTCCATCTTGCTTCAGCGCCCTCTCATGCCTACCGCTGCGGTCTATCCCTGTTCTACCCCTATGTGTGGCCAACCTTGGGCTCACTGTAGCAGCGCTGGGGTCTCTCGGCCATCAGTGTCACCGGGCTTCCGCACAGTCAGTGCTCAGGTACCAAGCAGATTCAGCGGTTCCCTGGCCCCTCACCAACACCTCCCTACCCTGGCTGTAACTCACAGCAGTTGGTTCGTGACCTCCATTCCCGGACGGAGATGCCCAGGTCCGCACAGGCTCTAGCATAGGCACTGAGGCCATGGCACAGGGTGAGGCGTTCCCCTCTGGTCACACACATGTCATACACACACTCTTCCAGGAAAGGCTTGGGGTCCAGGAAGTCATGGCAGTCAGCAAACGGGCCTGTGGACAGAGTTAGGATGCCACAGAGACAGTCCCCCTTAAAGAACTGGGTCTGGCTTGTGGTACAGGAGGGGCAATTGCCAAAGCAGCCGTCATCACATAAGAGGTCCCCGTTATCCAGCTTCCAGCTTTTGGTGAAGTTTAGGACATCAGAAGCCTGCTTCCCATCAGGCATGCGGAAGTCGTCGGCAGGGTCTCCGTTATAGTTGCCACACAGCCCCGACACCTGGTCTTGGAAGCGCTTGGGCAGGCTTAGTGTCAGCTGGCAATCCCAGTCATAGGTGACCACCAGCCCAAAGTCCAGCTCTACCACACCCTGTGTGCCACTCTGGTACACACGCAGGCGACCGTCACTCAGGGAGGCAGGCAGGCTCGAGTACTGGTAGTTGATCTGTGGAGAGGCGGCAGCGGTCAGACCCCTGTGTTATCTCCCCTTCCGCCCTCATCTCCTCCACTCAAGTCCCCAGCTCTAGTCACACAGGACACTCTCCTCCTTGCCCTTCCTTTGTCCTTCCCAGCGGAGCCCAGGGATGCTTGCTCTTGCACCTCCAGTGGCCTGAGGTGTTCTTCCTGGGATGTGCATGAAGACCCCCCTCCGCAGCTAATGTCTGCCGAGGTGCCACAGACTCTGAGGCCACCCCTGACCACCCTTCCTGTTGCCTCTCCTCCTCTGCTTCCCAGTCCCCACAGCATCTCGCCTTCTCCTGCAGCACGCTAGTGTCCCGCATCCTCCATCTGTCTGAGCCACTAAAGGCCACCTCATGGTTTTCTCTCCAGTGCCTCCCGCAGTGCCCGGCAGGAGAGCAGGCTGGCTACAGTGGTGAAGCCAGTGTGAGGAAGGAAGCTGGCAGGTCTGGTGGCAGCAAGGGGCAGCTGCAGAGAACCAGTGAGACCAGCAGGACTCATGGTCATGAGCTAGGGAGTGAGAGATGGGAGGCTGTGGGCAGAACTAGTCAAGACCAGCAACCGCCAAGAGGACAGATCTGCTGGAGGGCTCCAGCCCCATTAAAAACCACCGCCAGTGTGCTGGTTTCCTTTCTGCTTCCGTGACACAGTGCCCTGGCCAGAAGCAACTTCAGGGGAGGAAAGGGTTTGTCTTACATGTTCAGATCCCAATTCATCAGTGAGGGAAGTGGGAGCAAGAATTCAGGACGGGAGCCCAAAGCAGCAATCATAATGAACACTGCTGGCTGGCTGGCTCACTGGCCCACATCTTAGCTCTCGTATACAGACCAGACCCACATACCTAGGAATGGTGCTGCCCACACTCAATGGCCAAGACAAACATGGGCATCGGCCAGACTGCTGTAGACCGTTCCTCAGCTGAGGCATCTCTCAGGTGACTTTAAGCTGTGTCTGGTTGACAGTTAGGGCTAGCTAGAACAATCAACGTGGGCAATGCTGGGCACAATGGGCTCAGTCCTCAAACGGTAGCACCAGCTTGCCAGTCACCCCAGGTCGTTCTCCCTATCCCGACTCCTACGTTTGGATCCCCCAGACACTAGGAGTAACTTTTGAGGATTCTAGCCTCTAGACTAAACACTTGTTGCTGACCTTAAAGTCCTTCCTCAGGTGTGAGTCCCTAGCTCTGCAAGGGCTTTGGGGTCTTGATTTATTTGCGTTTGAGATCAGACCAGTTCCATTGCTTATGTGTGGAGGAGCCCAGGTTCTTATCTAGAATCCTGACTGGTCAAGAAGTTCCTTTGGACTAGGTATCTGGTTTCCCACTCTCGTTTCTTTATTATCTATATTAACTCTGGATGCCTCTTCCTCTCTGTGTTAAGCGGCACAAGACTCTTTTTGAGCAGTCCTGACTGACATTTTGTTTGCTGATTTTTTTTTTTGAGACAGGGTTTCACTGTGTATCCCTAGCTGTCCTTGAACTCACAAAGATCCGTGCCTCTGCCTCCTGAGTGCTGGGATTAAAGGTGTGTGCCACCACCACCTGGCTTTGTTTGCTATTTTAATGTGCAGGACTGGTTGGGGTGCCCCTTGAGCGCCAGCTGGGAGGGAATCAAGTCCATGACCTGAATCTGCATAGAATGGGTTCAAGTCTCTTAACTAGTTGCAGCAGAGATTTAAAATTCTCTGTTATTAAAATTAAAAATTAAAAAAATTAAATTCCCTGTTAGGGGCCCAGTACTGCAATATAATATGGAGTCATAACTCTTAAATGGGCCATTGATTTTTATACTACTTTGCAGTTAGAATTATTTTGTTAAAACAATTATATATGCATATTGTGTGTGTGTGTGTGTGTGTGTGTGTGTGTGTGTGTGTGCATGCGCGTGGGTGCAAGAGAGAAAGAGGGAGGGAGGGAAGGAGGGAAGGAGGGAGAGAGAGAGGGAGAGAGAGAGAGAGAGAGAGAGAGAGAGAGAGAGAATGCAGGTGTCCACAGGGGCTAGAGTCATTGGATCCCCTGGAACTGGAGTTACCGACAGTTATGAGTCGTCTTCTGTGGATGATGGAATTTTATGTAGATAATGGAAACTGAATTTGGATCATCTGAAAGAGCAGGACATGATTTAACCACTGTTCTATAATCAAGATTCTTCTAATGGTGGAACAAATCTAAGGCATAAAGATCCCAGACATCAACGATAACCCCCTGCTGGTTCACAACGAAGACCCGAAGGGAAGGGAATCAATGTTACTATAACTTTAGGCCCCAAGTTCCCAGAAAGTCTCAGAAGATGTTCCACTTCCCTTTGCTGGACTTGAACCAGCTCCTCTTCCCTTGGAGAAGCTACTGGAGCATCAGAAGAGAACACTTCCTAGATGTGGCGGTGACTCTGCAATGGGCTCTTCCTGCAGAGACCATCAGGGCACCCAGTTTTCTTAGGGCGTCTGCTGCAGTGCGGCAGAGGGTGGCCCCACTGAGATGTACCTGGCAGGATGCTCAAATACCCAAGGCTAACCCTGGGGTTGTTGGGTCCATATCCAGCTTCTACTTACAGCCTCTTCAGTTGGTCAAAGGCTGGTAAACTCCTTGCCAGCAGTCCAGCTGCACGCTGCCCCTCTTGGGCTGCTGTATGAGCCCATGTCATAAACAACGCTAGTGAGATAACTGAGTTCCAACACTCCACATTCAAGAGATGTAGTAGCAGTAAACAGACAGGGAGGAACTCAGATTCCAACAATGACAGATGCTGCCTGGACCCCATCACAAAGATGTCCTCTTAGACACTTGAGCCAAGAAACTTAAATGAGATACAAAGCCATTCCAGGACAGCTAAGGCTCTTCTCAGCCTCGTCATAAAGACTGTATCAAACAACGAGCGCTGTACTGAATTACAGCCAGAAGCCTCCAGAAGTGTAAGGATGATCAATATCCTTCATTAATCTGGCAAGGTGTGTCTGATATTTGGCTTAAATGACAAGCAATTAAGGGGCAGAGGTATGGACCTTTCTTGATTGGTAGACACAGCCTTAGACAGTCTACGATGACCAAGAAGATAAGAAGATCAAACACTTGCTCTTGAGACCCTTTCCTCCTGCTGGGTTGCCTCGTCCAGCCTTAATAGGAGAGGAGGTGCCTAGTCTTACTGCAACTTGATATGCCATGGCTGGCTGATATACATGGGAGCCCTGTCCTTTTCTGAAGAGAAAAGAGGAGGAGTGGATGGGGATGCAGGGAGGGGAGGTTGGGGGGAGGGGCTGGTAGGAGAGGAGGGAGGGGAAACTGATCGGGCTGGGAGAAACTTAATTAGTTAATAAAAAATAAAAAAGAATAATTTTCGCTATGGAAGATAATGATTACAAATGAGAATCTTAATAAAACCCCCAAAATATAGCTATTAAAACAAAACCAACTAAACAAACAAACAAAATCAAACAAGCCACCACCTCCATCCAAAACTTGTAAAAGGAGTTGAAAACTTGGAACTGGAGCTTGGTCCCAAGGGGAGTGGCCCCATACCCTGTAAGAACAATCGCAATAGACAGCTGCAGCTAACAGGAGTCCATAATGACCTTGCTAAGGACTGAGGAGGCTTGGGGGTTCCCACAACCCCTTCGGCTTTAACCATTACTTTCCTGGAACCAGGGAACGGCTGATATGAGGTACACACTCACAAGCCCCTTGACTAACACGGGGATGTAATGACCCTTTAACAAAAAGAGCTAGCCAGGGGTGGTGGTGCACACCTTTAATCCCAGCACTCAGGAGGTAGAGGCAGGCGGATCTCTGAGTTCGAGGCCAGCCTGGGCTACAGAGTGAGTTCCAGTATAGGCTCCAAAGTTACACAGAGAAACCCTGTCTCGAAAAACCAAAAACAAAAGAAAACAAACAAAAACCAAAAAGAACTAATCCTCCTGCGTCCTGTTATGAGAACACCAGGGAAGTCCTCGAGGTAGGCTTTCCGACAGCCATGGCAGTGTAGCCTGGCTGACACTACCTAACCCGGTTTCCTGTTTGTACCAGAATGTCAGGTTTCACAGTCCAGGGAGAGACTTACTCTGTCAGCTCAACGCCTGAGACACCCTTTTCCCAGAGAGGCGGAAAGTGCAGGCAAAGGGACATGGGGCTGGTGTGTGCTTAGAAAGAGGATTTTCCCCAAAGCCACCAGAGTGCTGACCCCGCAGAAAGGGATGATGGGATTCCAGAGGGAGCCTGTAGGTGTTCTTCTAAAGATGGAACACCGACTCCCCACTTAAAGCCATGTATTGTGTGACAGGAGGTGCTGGAGGGAATCCGAACCACACCTCCAGAAAACAGTTTTTAAGTGCGAGCTGATCACCTAACAGGCGACTATGGTAGTATTTTATTTGTACTGAAATGTAATTTTCATTGTATGTTAATAAATAAAGTTGCCTGGGGGTCAGAGCTATTAGAGCCATAGAAAGAGTGTGGTGGTGGTGGTGGTGGTGGTGGTGGTGGTGGTGGTGGTGGTGGCACACGACTTTAATCCCATAGATCTCTGTGTGTTCAGGGATACAGCCAGCATTGGAGACATATGCCTTTAAGACCTGGAGGGCTGTATTTACAGGCAACGACGAGGCAGTCACGTGTTTGGGTTTACAACCAATGAGAAGGCGGAACAGAAAGACTATTTAAAGACAGACACATAGGAAGTAGCTCTCTTTCGGGGAGGTAGGAGCACCGCAGGAGGAAGGGTAAGATTTCAGCTCTGAGCTCTGACCTCTCGGCTTTCTTTTTTACATTGGTTCTGTGTTTCTTATTTAATAAGACGGTTGGTTACATCTACATTTGGCACCCAACATGACAAGAATCCATTAAAAACTGCTTGGCTTGGCAGCAGGTCCGGTTTCCCACAAGGGTGGCCGGCTCCCTAGGCCAGGCCCAGGTTGACTTGGCCTCAGGCGGGGCTAACCGTGAACTACTTGCTTAAAGCCAGAGCTACAAACAACTCAGGCCTGCCCTGCCAAACA